CTCTCTCCTGTTCCTTGTGATTATTCTACAAAATTGGGGCTAGCTGGGGGGTTATATATGGGATTTCCCTGCAGCCAGGGGCGGACTGACCATTTGGAAACTCAGGCACTGCCCGAGGGCCCCGGGGTCAGTAGGGGGCCCCATGTGATGCCCCTGGTACCTTTTACATAGGTTTTTTTGAGTTTGGGCAAGGACACAGGGGCCCCATGATCCCCTATTGCCCGGGGGCCCCATGAGTTGTCAGTCCGCCCCTGCCTGCAGCTTTCTTTTTTTGTAAGTATCCAATCACTTGAAGGTAGCTATATATATAGTCCATTGTTAAAAACAAAAGATCCTGTATCCTTACCGTACTCTAAGAAACAGATTTTACTGGTAATTAAAAAATTCTATTTTTTATGTGACTATGGAATGTGCTAAACCGGAATAAGAACTGTCATGGTTGTTGTTTAACCACTTAACCTCTTCACGCCGGCCGCACCAAGTGGGCCTAGACGCCGAGCGGCCGCACATTTGCTTTCAATTATAGAAAAAACTTATGTGCTGAGAGCGCTCACCCTGCGCACTCCCAGCACACATGTCCGGTACTCACGGAAAGGTCCCGGTCTTCTCTTTCGATCTGGACCTTTCCCGATCATGTGACCGCCGTGACGACGCGTCACGGCGGTCACGTGATCCCTAAACCCCGCCCATCCCTCCTCCCGGCTTGTGAAACTCTTAAAGGGCTAAGAGGCGCCGGCGTGAAGGGGTTAAGCACTGGAAGACTTTACCCTCTTCCTAACCAGACGGTTTTCTGATATTCAGCACTGCACTTCTTTACTTGGCAATTGCTCAGTCATGCAACACTGTAACCAAATGAAATTGATAACATCGTTTTCACACAAATAGAGCTTTCTTTTGTTGGTATGTGATCACCATGTGATTCATGTGTTGGTATGTGATCACCATGTGATTCATGTGTTGGTATGTGATCACCATGTGATTCATGTGTTGGTATGTGATCACCATGTGATTCATGTGTTGGTATGTGATTTTTTTACTTTTTATTATATAAACAAAAAAAACCAACAATTTTGAAAAAAACACAATTTTTTTTTAACTTTCTGTTGTTAACCACTTCCTGTTCGGACACTTTTACCCCCTTCCTGTCCAGGGCAATTTTCAGCTTTCACACTTTGAATGACAATTGCGCGGTCATGCAATACTGTACCCATACGAATTTTTTACCATTTTTTTTGAGACAGATAAAGCTTTATTTTGGTGGTATTTATTCACCACTGGGATTTTTATTTTTTTTTTACTATGTAAATGAAAAAGTCCAAAAATTTTGAAAAAAAGTGTTTTTTTAAATAAAATTTTGCAATTAAATAATATTTCATCATAAATCTTGGCCAAAATTTATTCCGTTATTTTTTTTAGTAAAAAAAAAAAAAAAACAAATTAGTTTATAACCAAAAATTATAATTTTTAAACATTTTTTTTTACATTTTTATTTTATTTTTTTATATTATTATTTTTTATTTTTATTTTTTTACATACTGTCACCCTAGCAGTACAGTGTCACCATGGTGACCCTGTACTACTTGTGGGGGGTGATGAAGATTTTTTTTTTTTTTTTGCACTGATTGCTTTTACACCCATATAGGATATAAAAGCAATCATTTCTCTTTCTCTCTGTCTGCATTCTTGCACTCATTGAGAAGTACTGAGTGAGCTGTGATTGGTCATAGCTTGTCACATGGTACAAGGCTGTTGTGAATAGCCTTGTACCATGTGACCTCTGTGATCATTCACAGATTTCACACGTAGTAAGCAATGATGTCACAAGTGACATCTTGCTTACTACTTTGCATGTGATCACTGATTGGCCAATCAGTGATAACATGATCGGGACCCTCGTACAGAGGTCCCGTCCGACGATCGGTGTTTCACTGTGTCCTGAGGACACAGCGGGCACCGGATCGCGGTGGTGCGCGCTCCCAGGGAGCGCGCACAGCTAGAAAAGGCGGGTGCCGTTTATGAACGGCAACCCGCCCCTGGACTGCCACCGCCCTGCCGTTTATAAACAGCAAGCGGACGGCAAGAGGTTAAACATATCCAATGAAAATTTTTTTTTAAAATCTACCATATTTGCCGGCGTATAAGGCGACTGGGTGTATAAGACAACCCCCTAATTTTCCAGTTAAAACATAGGGTTTTGGGCTACACTTGTATAAGACTACCCCCCTTCTGAGGCAACACCATTTGATTTGATTAAATATACACCCACTAATCTGTCAGCCCAATGGATGTGCGGTAATACTGTATGTATGGTAGCTTCGGCTACATACAATATATATACAGTATACTGCGCTGCCAATCACGGCAAGTGATGTATTCTAATAATGAATACAGAGCCTGCTCGGATTGGCTGATCAGAGAGGCGGGCTGATGATGTTACAACCTCAGCCAATCCGAGCAGGCTCTGTATTCATTAATAGAATACATCGCTCACCATGATTGGCTCAGCATGGTATACTGTATGTAGCCAAAGCTACCGTACAGTATTACTGCACATCCAGCGGGCTGACCGATTAGGGACGTTCGTTTTGAGCCAGCTTGGCCCAAAACTAACCAAAGGTTCACATTGTATACCCCGCGTATAAGATGACCCCCAATTTTTGGGGTATGTTTTTAAGTATAAAAAGTCGTCTTATACGCCGGAAATCACATTTTGGCCCACGTTTATGAAGAAATTAATTTCTTCATAAACTTGGGCCAAAATGTATTCGGCTACATGTCTTTGGTAAAAAAAAAAATCCCAATAAGTGTATATTCATTTCTTTGCGTAAAAGTTATACAAACAATGATATATACAGTATATTGGAATTTTTATTTGTTTTTTTTTCTACTAGTAATGGCGGTGATCAGTGACTTATAGTGGGACTGTGACAGTGCAGCAGCCAATCTGACACTAAGGCAGGCCATAGACGGTTCGTTTATCGGCCGATGCTGCCACCAATGTCCACTAAAAACAGCCGTTTTTGTGGATTTTCCAACATGACCGATAAAAATAAATGAGGAGATCCGTGAAAAACTGTTGGCCCCACTAACGGCGTGATTATCGGCCAATTTTTTTCATGTGGACGAAAATTCGGCCGATAAACGACCCTGTCTGTGGCCTGTATAACTGACACTGGGTGGGAACTGACTAACTGACACTGATATCACCAGTGACACTAATACAGTGATCAGTGCTAATACAAGGGACGTTCAAGACAAACCTGTACTTTTAATTTTACAGGTATAAAAAGGGATGTTAGGGTGGCGGTACTACATGCAGTAGTAAGTGGCAAGTGTGTCCTATTACTGATAGGCGGGGCACATGTCACGGTCAGTCCAGAGCGCGTTAATCAAGATGGCAGACACCAGTGTTAGTGCTTCCATGGAACAGCGTGTGGTGATGAAGGTGTCTTGTGAACGAAGGCGTAAAACTCTCGGATATCTACAGAAGACTGCAAGCACAGTACAGTGATGAGACGCTCAGCCAAAGTAAGACATTTGAATGGTGCAAATGTTTCAAAGATGGCTGTCCATCCGTGATGATCCCGTCTGTGGTGGTTCCCAGCCCCACAGCAGTCATTCCTGTGAACATTTAACACGTAGAACGCCTGATCCTGGATAACCGACGCATAACCTGTTGTGAATTTGCAGAAGAGACAAATCTTTCTGTGGGAACGGTGATGTCACGTACCTGATAGGACACTGAAATGACAAAGTCGGCCTCACTTGTGTCACTAGCCCTGACCCCACTGGATGTGGAACAGAGGGTGTCTAGGGACCAGGGGGACAAGAGCACCAGTAGATGTTGTTTGCAGCTTTGTGGTTGGTGACCTTGGAAGACTGATGAACCTCTGATTCAGGCACAGTAGTAATATGCAGAGCTGGTATGGTAGATCGCCAGGTGTGCACCAGAGCAAGGCAGGAAGCAGGGATGGGAGACAGGAGCAGTGTCAAAGGAATAGCCAGGGTCATCAATGGGCGGATAGCGAGGTAGCATATCAGAAGGAAAAGCCAAGGTCAGGAGCAGAGCCGAAGTCAAGAACAAGTATCAAGCTGGAGAGTAATCAGAGTCATGTCAGGAACAAGCTGGGTCAGCAAAAAGGAAATCACACAGGAACAAGCAGGACACAGGGAACAGCTGAAGACCAGTCAGCACTCAGCACAGGCAGAGGCACCTTTTAAAATAGTCCGTCTGGCGGCAATCTTCGCCGTGCGTGTGCACGTGCGCCTGCGTGTGAGCGATCGTGCATTTCTATGCACATGCACACGTCTATTCGCCAGCCGTCTCATGGGAATTCCCTTACTGGTGAACCCAATGATGAAGAAATGAAGCCGGCTGTCCAAGGATGGTTCAGGCGTATTGACAAATCTTTCTATGCCGGAGCTTTCCAGGCATTAGTCAAACGCTGGGATAAGTGTGTACATGTAGTAGGGGAGTATGTCAAAAAAATAAATGCAATTTCCACTCCTTTAAAAAAAAGATTTTATGATATAAACTCAAAAAGTCCCAGTTTGGGGCTACTGTCTTTGAAAATAATTTCCTTTTTTTTTTTTTTCCTTTTTTTTTTTTTTTTTTTTTTGCAGTTGCCTTACTTTTACCCAAGAATTAGATAATATCCATTTGTCATTCAAATGACAGGACATCATACACCCACCTAGAAGACAGGAAATTTGCCTGCAGCACTCTGCGTCCTCTTGTGTTATGTATATTCTGACAAATGTCATCCCCGGCTGTGCAGAAACGCACTTTGCCAGCAATTTCCTTTTAGGGAAGAAAGTCACAATAGATGCAGTGAAATCAATTGCCTTTTTTTTTTCCCCTTGATTAACCAGAATGAATTTAAGTAAAGCCCAAATGACAAATTTGTTAATGGCCTTCGCGTGTTGCCCATTTAAGATATCCATCGCAAAGTCATTATCTTTAATTATGTCCTAACGAATTTTCTATGACTTTTGTACAGAAACGTCCCCCATAAACAGCCTGAAGTCCATCATGAAGAAGAAGACTAGCAGCGGACGCTCGAGTTCAAGTGGGGAATCTCGAGCGAAGAAGAATCTCCAGTTTGTTGGGGTCAATGGTGGGTAAGCATCAGATCGGAGACTCACAGTGATACTTTCTTTCCATTGATTGTTCGCTAGGGCTAAGCCAAATCGAAAAATTGAACCTTTTCCTGAGGCGATGGTTAGACCAGGTGGGCGCGCTGTTTACGAGGCTATTTTAATTTCACGCACAACTTTGTTTTTTTTTTTACATCAGCCAGTCACAAATATTGAAATGAAGTGTCGATGATAAATAAAAATCCTCAGTTTTGTTTTGTGGTTTTTGTTGCCTACCAGGGGTGGACTGACAACTCATGGGGCCCCCGGGCAATAGGGGATCATGGGGCCCCTGTGTCCTTGCCCAAACTCAAAAAATCCTATGAAAAAGGTACCAGGGGCATCTCACGGGGCCCCCTACTGACCCGGGGCCCTCGGATAGTGCCTGAGTTTCCAAATGGTCAGTCCACCCCTGTTGCCTACATAGTAATGGCAGAGAAAATGACCGTAGAAGAACTAGAACAGTTTTGGGCTACTTAATTGTTTGTTTTTTTCCAATCTTTGTTTATTAAGTTTAGACAAGATGTACAGGAATGGAGCACGGCACCACCTTTCCAGGGGCGTCCCAATGGTTGGTGTCACCCCGTGCGGTAACACTTGGTGTCACCCCAATGTTACTTTGTACCAATGTGAAAGGTGCATTGGCGTCCCTAGGCAGGTGCAGGAGGTGCGCGCCACACCGGGTGACACCTATTGCACGGGGTGACACCAGACCCGCTCCACGAAAAGGTAAGTTTTAAAGCAAGCCGACGATCCCTGCAGGATAGATCGGATCTGTGGATTGAGCATAATGGATCGGAGTCCAATCCATTATGCTCCCCAATACGCAGATCCAATCCATCCTGCGGGGATCGTCGGCTTGCTTTAAAACTTACCTTTTCGTGGGGCTCATGGAGAGGTCAATTAACCCCATATAGGTTGCAAGCCGACGATCCCCGCAGGATGGATCGGATCTGCAGATTGGAGAGCTATAATGGATCGGACTCCAATCCATTATGCTCAATCCACAGATCAGATCCATCCTGCGGGGATCGTCGGCTTGCAACCTATATGGGGTTAATTGACCTCTACAGGATGGATGTGATCTGTGGATTGAGCATAATGGATTGGAGTCCGATCCATTATAGCTCCCCAATCCGCAAATCCAATCCATCCTGCGGGGATCATCAGCTTGCAACCTATATGGGGTTAACTGATCTCTCCATGAGCTCCACGAAAAGGTACGTTTTAAAGCAAGCCAACGATCCCCGCAGGATAGATCGGATCTGCAGATTGAGCATAATGGACCGGACTCCGATCCATTATGCTCCCCAATCCGCAGATCCGATCCATCCTGCGGGGATCGTCGGCTTGCAACCTATACGAGGATAACTGATCTCTCCACGAGCTCCACAAAAAGGTAAGTTTTAAAGCAAGCCGACGATCCCAGCAGGATGGATCGGATCTGCGGATTAGGGAACATAATGGATCGGACTCCGATCCATAATGCTCAATCCACAGATCCTATTCATCCTGTGGGGATCGTCAGCATGCTTTAAAACGTACCTTTTCGTGGAGTGGGTCCGGTGTCACCCGTGTGGTAGGTGTCACCCGGTATGGCGCGCACACCCCCCGCACCTGCCTAGGGATGCCACTGCACCTTTCACATTGGTACAAAGTAACATTGTAAAAAAGCAAAAAAGAGTATAACGTATATTCAAAGACATTTATAAAGCAGTGAGGGTTGTTTACCGCTCTCTGAAAAGTGATTCATGGTGCATCAGTTTTCAAAGGACTGTATAGCAGCTCAGGGCAGGCGTTTTAAACCGGAGTACCTGGAGGAATCCCACGCAGGCACAGGGAGAGCATGCAAACTAAAGGCAGGTGGTGCCGTGGTTGGGATTCGACCCAATGACCCTAGTACTGCCAGGTGGATGGGCTAACCATTTAGCCACTGTGCTGCTTATATGTGAACAGCGGCCATGTTGGCCATTGATTTGTATAAATCTGACAGCATTCACTGACAACATCTGCTGTATGCACACAATGTAGACTGCGTTCAGGATCGCCTGCAAGCATATACTGATTCTTGCTGGCAGTCACCCCTGGCGGTCCCTGTGCCGCCTTGTCAGTGTAGCCTGACCCCAGGTTCACATCCAAGCGTTTTCTGCAGCATTTTGCAGAAATGCAGTACAGTCCATTTAACATGATTTCCTATGGGACATGTTCTCACCTGTGCGTTTTCACCCGGTGCATTTTTTGGAAAATGTCAGGGACTTTTTTGAACGTAAAAGATTGCGTTTTTGGTTGTATAGATGTCAATAGGAATGGTGCAGAAAAGCACGTATTGCGTTTTTTGCTGTGTTTTGTGTTTAAAATCTGCCTTGCAACAAGAAACAAAGTAAATAAAAACACTGAAAATTCATCAAAACACAGCAAAAACTCAAGTGCAAAAACACATCGCAAAAAGCAATGCAGAAACGCAACCTCCATAGGTGTGAACCTAGACTGAGAGGGGATTTCTGATTGGTTGCTCTAAATTACTGCATTTTACACATCGTCAGTGCGGCTGTAGAGAAAATATGTACAATCGAAGGTCCCTAACTCACATTCATACATACACATACTAGGGACAATTTAGACAGGAGCCAATTAACCTACCAGCATGTCTTTGGAGTGTAGGAGGAAACCGGAGTACCTGGAGGAAACCCACGTAGGCACAGGGAGAACATGAAAACTCCAGGCAGGTGGTGCTGTGGTTGGGATTCAAACCAATGACCCTAGTACTAGCCAGGCGGGAGTTCTAACCACTTAACCACTGTGCTGCCCTTGTCATCTCAACTCATCATGATAAATGGTGGACATTATGGATTCTGTGACTCTAGTTTAGCCTTTCTCAACCTTTTCAGCGCAGAGGAACCCTTGAAATATCTTTCCGGTCTCAGGGAACCCCTGCTAAAAATGACTATATCTACAACTCATGATACATTAGTGTGAAGGTCAGTGGGAAGAATGCTCCTCACACTTGTGGACATTGGGAAGAATGCTCCTTACACTTGTGGACATTGGGAAGAATGCTCCTCACACTTGTGGACATTGGGAAGTATTACCATCTTACAGATAGCTAAAAAAGATCATTGGTGTCAGTGGGAACTTATCTGAGAGGCTGAAATTACTCATTGCTCAAGGAACCCCCAGCAAGCTCTAGGGGAACCCTGGTTGAGAAACCCTGCTCTACTTGGTATTCTCTCTGAAACATTTGAACACATTTTGTGACTGTATCTGCAACAAGTCACCCTATAGGAAGGGTTTCCAAGAATTCTAAGCAAATCGCTAGTTTACTGTCCTTCAGGCTTTAGAAGGGCTGGACTGTGGCCAGTGGGAGTAGAAAATGCCCTGGCATCAGTGTCCCATAATTGGTTTTAGTGCTAGGAATAGTGTCCTATTGTTGATATCAAAGAGAGGAATAGTCCCAAATCGCCCACTCCGCTCCTTCCAAGATATCTTCCTCTTTAGCTACGTCATCACCTACTCCCACGCTCGCCTCCAAGACTTCTCCAGAACTTCTCCCTTCCTCAAACTCCCTACCACAGTATGTCCAGTCAGCCCCCACCCTGTCTGCCTTTAGGTGATCTTTGAAAACTCACTTATTCAGGGAGGCCTACCCCACCTCCACCTAAGAACTGTACTTGAATTACCTCCACCAGATCATCCCCCCACAGCTATCACCTTTTGTATCACCTCCCCCTTCCTTTAGATTGTAAGCTCCATGAGCCGGGCCCTCCTATTCCTTCTGTACTGAAATGTATTGTAATTGTACTGTCTCCCTTATATTGAAAAGCGCTGCGCAAACTGTTGGCGCTATATAAATCCTGTATAATAATAATAGTGCCCTATTGATGGTGTCAGTGTAGGGAATGGTCCCCCATCATTGGTGTCAGTTGCTGGAATAGTGCCCCAAGGGCCAGAGAAAGGCAAGTAAAGGGCTACATCTGGTCTACATGCCGCAGTGTGGAGACAACTGATCTATAGTATTTAGGTAATGTCTACTTCTCAGATCGGTGGCATTGTTAGGCCCAGGTCTTCTAACATGGAGACTTGCCTTGGAATTGGGGCCTGCAACTGCTTCCCATACAAAACCTGTGTGGCTTGGTCCCAGCTCTCCTACCCTCCTCCTCCATTACTGCCCCCACAATGAATTTAATTAAAACTGCAATCATTTTGTGAAACAGAGCTATTCCTTTGTCCATTCAGAGCAAAGTGATTAGGTCTTCTTAAGAGGCCACCCTCACCCAGTGATGTCAAAAATTCCCAGCTCGCTTACCAGCCAGTTAAAAACAAGGGGTATAGTTTGCACACATTTGCAAATGTATGCGTAAGAAGCAGTGTGCACGTCACGGCACCCCAGTGTACTGTCATTTTAAGAGTTTCCCAAGTTGGAACACATATATAATAATGGATATATTAAGGGCAGGTATGCCTGTAGGGAGCCCACCCCTCCTCAAAGGTACAGGGACAACCTGGACACCCAGCAAAAGCATAATGGCAGCTGAAGGTATCCATTGCGCCCTGGCGTGGGATCCCTCTAGGCTTTCTTGCCCATAATCTTTCCATCGTTATTTATGTGCTCCAAGTCAAGAAACTCTCGAAATAATAGGACTGCAGTACATTGGGGTGTCATGACGTGGCTGATGCAGCTTCTGCATATATTTGTAAATGTGTGCAAACTAAATCCCTGGCAGGGGCGGACTGACCATTTGAAAACTCGGGCACTGCCCGAGGGCCCGGGGTCAGTAGGGGGCCCCATGAGATGCCCCTGGTACCTTTTTCATAGACTCTTTTTTGAGTTTGGGCAAGGACACAGGGGCCCCATGATCCCCTATTGCCCGGGGGGTCAGTAGGGGGCCCCATGAGATGCCCCTGGTACCTTTTTCATAGGCTTTTTTGAGTTTGGGCATGGACACAGGGGCCCCATGATCCCCTATTGCCCGGGGGCCCCATGAGTGGTCAGTCCACCCCTGATCCCTGGTTTTTAATGTAAACTGTTAGACAGGGTCAATTCGGTTTATTGCAGGCTGGCTGGTAAGTGTGCTGGGAATTTATGTTTGTTTTTTGACATGCGTCGCCCTTCCATGTGCTTCTTGCTGCAAAGGCCAGTTATAGGTTGGGGTGGTTTCCATTTGCTTGCGCCTTCACCCAGTGATACCTTCACCAAGCTCCCCCACAGCTGCATTGGCTTTTCAGAGCCCTTGAAAACACCTGGTGCAGGTATGGCAAGGTGGGGAGCAAGTCATCTCCTCCCCTTACCTTCCAGGGTGCAGTGCTCAGGCCTGAGTGGCTAATTACCAAGCCCACAATGTACTTTGGTACATGGGGTAAGAGAAAAGGTCATTAGTACTGTGTCAGCTATGACACAGACCTGGGGCGGACTGACAACTCATGGGGCCCTCGGGCAGTAGGGGATCATGGGGGCCCCTATGTCCTTGCCCACACTCAAAAAAAGCCTATAAAAGGTACCAGGGGCATTTCATGGGGCCCCCTATGGACCCCTGGCCCTCGGGCAGTGCCCCAGTGTTTGAATGGTAAGTCTGCCCCTGACACAGACAGACATGGAGCTGTCTATAGTGTATATAAGTAATAATATAGCGCAGCGCTAAATCAATAATATCAATAAATCAAAACATGCAAAAAAGTACACCAAAACAAGTGTTCACAAAAAGTGTAAGATGAGGTCCTTAAATAAACCTCAAATACGTGCAATAATTCATACTATACATGTGAAATACATCATGTAATAATTTAAACAAACCCCCATTCATACAATGCAAATCCCCTATATAAAGGAATGGCACTCTCAGTGACTAGTGTTGATGTGACCAATATAAAATATAAATAATCAATCAAAAATTCTTAAAGAGTCCATAAATCATCAAAATAATACTCCAAACAACAATAACTCATGCAGAGTGATAATAGTGATGATGTCTGTGAAGGTGTCAGCACACTTATCCTCCGTGGCTAAAATGCCCCCTCACCTCCACTCAGCGACCCAATGGGCCACTACGCCTCCAGGATCACTCCTAGATCCTTCTCCAATACTGACTGGTATCCTTAGTACTCCACCTGTAGTCCCCCTCTCAGGTTGGAAGTAAGGTACTCCAGGCCTTCCAGGATAGATATATCAGCTAGACCATGGACACCATGGACCATGGTGAGAAAGAAAAAGATCCTCCATAGTGTAGTAATTGGGGTAAATAATACTCTTTTTATTAAATAATAAAATGCCCACTCACTTTGTTGAACTCTGGTACAATCGCATAGTAAACCTCGTGCCTGGGTGTACTGCATGGGTTAGGATTTGTATGGGTGTTTAAAGATGACGTCCGTGCCGGATGTGCGTCACCACGTACCGGAAGCTGCGTCACGGCGTATCTTTGGTGCAAGTACAGTGTATGTCCTGGTATGGACCATGTCCATAGACCATCAGCTGCTTTAGTGTATCGGTAGCGGGGGCGGACTGACAACTCATGGGGCCCCCGGGCAATAGGGGATCATGGGGCCCCTGTGTCCTTGCCCAAACTCAAAAAAGCCTATGAAAAAGGTACCAGGGGCATCTCACGGGGCCCCCTACTGACCCGGGCCCTCGGGCAGTGCCCGAGTTTCCAAATGGTCAGTCCGCCCCTGATCGGTACCATTCCATATAAGCGCAGGAGGAATCTCTAGATATCTTTTATAGTGTATATCAGGGGTGGACTGACAAACTCATGGGGCCCCCGGGCAATAGGGGATCATGGGGCCCCTGTGTCCTTGCCCAAACTCAAAAAAGCCTATGAAAAATGTACCAGGGGCATCTCATGGGGCCCCCTACTGATCCCGGGCCCGAGTTTCCAAATGGTTAGTCCACCCCTGGTGTATCAAATCAATAGATCCAAACAGGAATCTACCCTCTTTCAATAAATCTACTATATATGTGACAACAAAATATTCCCCATATACTTTCTACAAAATCATAAATCCAGTGTCTCTGTGATTTAAATCCAATAATATAAAGTCCAGTGTCTCAATAACGAAAAAATATATAAAATTAAAATTAAAAAATAAAGATAAAAATAAAAATAAAATAAAAAGAAATGAAAAATGTCTATTTCTTGCAGTGTTGATTGTTGTGAAGAACCTCAAAGAAAAAGAAACTCACAATAGTGCATTACCATAATACCACAAAAAAAAAAAAAAAAAAAAAAAAAAAAAAAAAAATATATAATAAAATTTATGATATATATATATATATATATATATATATATATATAAAACACATGCACACACAAATGTGTATCAAACAATTGTGCAACCTTTAAGTGAAAAAATTATATATTTAACACTTGTGAGAACCTTCCAAAAGAGAAAGGTAATAAAACACTTGTGCTCATAAATAATAAAAATCATGAAGTGATCTACTAAGTGAGATTCCTCCCCACACGTGACACTTCTAGTGAGTAAGGCCAATATACCCTTACCAACAGTAGATGAAACTCACGCCTTTTGTATATATATATAACTGGAAATCCTCCAAAGAAGCTTTATCCTCCTCTCCTCCTTCGCTTCCTGTTAGGATGATCTTACCATGCCTTCCACATCCATAGGTTTATATAAAATATAACGTACCTCCATGTATGTTTCAAGTTTTAATGAATCCACTTGTATAAGGAGTTGAAAACATAGGCATATAAATAGTATAATCAATTTTGGACAAGCCCCACTGAGTGGGGATTACCAGGCAGTTCCCACAGTTCCCATGCAGTCCACTCTCAAGTGTCCAGTGATTCCTCAACAAAGATGGCCGCTGCGACACTTCCGGTTCCTGCTCCTTGCGTATGACGTCACTTCCTCTTGACGCGTTTCGTCACATCCGGGACTTAGTCATAAGAGAGATCACCCCTGGTGTATATAGACTCACACAGCCTGGCTCGGGATCGAGCCTGCGCGTCTGCCCCCATATCAAGCACTTGCTGTGGGGGGAAAAGAGAAGGAGCGGACAGTGCCGGCAGGAGACCCCAGAAGAGAAGGTTCGGGACCGCTCTGTGCAAAACCATTGCATAAAGCACGTACATGTGACCTGTTTGTTATTTTTAAAAAATGTGAACCTTTACAATCACTTTAACATCAGAAAGACGAAGGAAGCTCTGGACACTGGTCCATTTTTGGACACTGGAGATAATGATTCAGGATGTCCGCACCCATTTAGTCAGACAATGTAACATTAATCTGGACACTGGCAGACTTTTACATGATGTAATTGCTGATCTACATCATGGCCAAAGTGGATTTTAAAGAGGACGTGTTGCATCTAAAAGAAATGCACGAGGATTTTATTTGATATTACATTACATTACATCGAGTTTATATAGCGCCAACGGGTTTGCTCAGCGCTGTACAATAGAGGGGGGGACAATACATGAAACAGTACAGCAACTACAAACAGCACACGAGGGGTTAAGAGGGCCCTACTCTTTCGAGCTTACAATCTAGGAGGGAGGGGGTAGTGGTACAGGAGGAAGTGGCTGTGGGGGATGGAGTGGTAGGAGGAATGAAGGAGAATGGCTGTTAGGTGAGGGTGGGGTAGGCTTCCCTGAAGAGGGGGGTTTTCAGGGAGCGCTTGAAGGTGAAGAGGGAAGGTGACAGTCTGATGGATTGAGGTAGTGAGTTCCAGAGGATGGGGGAGGAACTGGAGAAGTCTTGCAGACGTGCGTGGGAGGAGGAGACCAGGAGGTCCTGTGAAGAGCATAGGGTACGAGTAGGGTGGTACTTGGGAATCAGGTTGGTGAGGTAGTTAGGGGCAGTGTTGTGAACGGCTTTGTAGTTCAGAGTGAGTAGTTTGAATTTGATGCGTCGGGCGATAGTGAGCCAGTGGAGGGATAGGCAGAGGGGGGTGGCAGAGGTGGAGCGGCTGGTGAGGTGGATGAGTCTAGCCGCTGAGTTCAGGATGTTCTGAAGTGGGGAGGGCCTGCACTGGGGTAGGCCGGTGAGGAGGGAGTTGCAGTAGTCGAGGCGTGAGATAATCAGGGAATGTACGAGTAGTTTAGTAGTGTCTGGGGTAAGGAAGGTGCGTATCTTGGCGATGTTGCGAAGGTGGAGCCTGCATGAGTTTGTATGTGATTTGACATGAGGTTGGAAGGAAAGGTTTGAGTCCAGAATGACGTCAAGGACTTTGGCTTGCGGGGCGGGATTGATGGTGTTGTTGGTAGTGATGCATGGGATGGGGGGGGGGGGGGCGGGGCGGCGCGGGCAGGGGGGAGGACGAGAAGCTCGGTTTTGGAGAGGTTAAGCTTGAGGAAATGGAGCGACATCCAGTCAGAGATGTCGTTTAGGAGGTGAGTGATGCGGGCGGAGAAACTGGGGGTGAGGTGGGGGGTGGAGAGGTAAATTTGAGTGTCATCAGCGTAGAGGTGGTAGTTGAAGCCGTGGGAGTGTATGAGTTTGCCCAGGGAGGAGGTGTAGATGATAAATATTGTTTTATTATATCATGATGTAAAAGGAAAGCTAGCTGTTCTTGTACTGACATGTATTAATACAGTTTTCTAATTTGTTGTACATTTTTATTTTTTCAAATTCTTTATTTTGCTTTACATTTTCATTATGTGGTTCTGTTTTTACGAATCACTTCTACAACAAAACTAGTGCGAATGTGCCACGGTTTGTAAATTAACGTATACAGTGGATGCAAACCTCACTCATATGAAGACAGGAGTTGTGTGGGGTTTTTTTTTTTGTCATTTTTTTTTTAGTTGTACTTTGACTTTTAATCTGTTATGTTGCCTTTAGCTATGAAACAACATCGAGTGAGGAGTCCAGCTCCTCAGAGGAATACGGAGAAGGTGAAGTTCAGAAGGCTGAAATATCAACACAAGATGCTGAAAATAATGAGTTAGACAATCTAGTTATTGCGGAAACGGGAGACGCAAAGGAAGAATTACAGGATTCCTCAGAGCCAGCAGGATTAGAGACCCAACAGCAGAGAAGGTACAATCTATATTAAGGGTTGTAGTAAGTGAAGCCTTCAGGGGACAACAGGGTCGAGGCTTTTGGGGGAACATCTCCCACCACCCCAGCTGATGTAATATGTTGGGACAATGGCCTTGAGAGGAGATACTTCTTCATTCAGACCTCACCTTGTCCTCCTCTGGTGGCTTTGCTATTGTGTACTTCTACTAAATTAGTCTTCTATATCAGGGGTGGACTGACAACTCATGGGGCCCCTGGGCAATAGGAAATCCCTGTGTCCTCGCCCACACTTAAACTACACCCAAAAAAGCCTATGAAAGGTACCAGGGGCATCTCATGGGGCCCTCTACAAACCTGGGCCCTCAGGCAGTGCCCGAGTGGCTAAATGGTCAGTCCGCCCCTGTTCTATATCCTTTAAACCTCCTAACCTTTGAGATGGTTCCTCAATCTGTTCTTAATGTGTACATTTGGGCAAAATATAAAAAAAAAATATGTAGTACACAGGGGCGGACTGACAACTCATGGGGCCCCCGAGCAATAGGGAATCATGGGGCCCCTGTGTCCTTGCCCAAACTCAAAAAAGCCTATGAAAAAGGTACCAGGGGCATCTCACGGGGCACCCTACTGATCCCGAGCCTTTGGGCAGTGCCCGAGTTTCCAAATGGTCAGTCCGCCCCTGGTAGTACATTGCTGTAATACATGCTAATTTCCCAATGGTTTATCTCTTTACAAACGTTGCAAGTACAGAAACATGACTGTTGATCCTGCCAGAAATTCTAAATTCCTGGTGTTGGCTGACAAGGCTGCATGAGCTGCACAAAACCGCAAGCACTGTTGTCATCACTGTGTGGGATGACTCCCGAGAACATTCCCAGACACTATGGGGCTGATTTACTAAAGGCAAATGGACTGCTCACTTTGCACTCCGCAATTGTACTTGTTCCAGAGCTTAGTAAATGAGGTAAAGCTTCACTTTACAAAGAAAGCCCAATCACACGCAAGGAAATAAAAACTGAATTTTTGCTTGCACATGATTGGATGATGGACGTCAGCAGAGGTCCTCCTCATTTACGAAGCTCTGGAACAAGTGCGCTTGCAGAGTGCACAGTCTATTTGCCTTTAGTAAATGAACCTCTATATGTAGGGAAAGAGCTTTTGTAGGGTCTTTAGGGACAAAGAATTGGACCTGCGCTCCTGATACCTTCTCCCAACAGTTTTCCTGCAAGAATTTTTATAAGTCTGGTGCTGATGTCACAGGGAGCAATTAAAGATAAAGCAAAAATACGTAATACTGAGATTTGATCTAGAGGGAGAGAGGGAAGTTTGGGGTTAAATTTGGTCCGTCCAGGGGCGGACTGACCATTTGGAAACTTGGGCACTGCCCGAGGGCCCAGGGTCAGTAGGGGGACCCATGAGATGCCCCTGGTACCTTTCATAGGCTTTTTTGGGTGTGGTTTGAGTGTGGGCGAGGACACAGGGGCCCCATGATCCCCTACTGCCCAGGGGCCCCATGAGTTGTCAGTCCGCCCCTGGTATATACAAATCCTTTAATACAAACTATGCATTTTTCTATGCATGACAAAGCAAAATGCCCTTTGTTCTCTTGGGTTAAGTTGGTTAACTATACAAACACATTAATGGTCATTACCACTTCATTAAAGTGGTTGTAAAGATAGGTTTGTTACCGTAATGTATTCTATGGATTAAGGCAAAAATCCTTCTGTGCCCCCCCCCCCCCCCCATACTTACCTGAGCCGATTCTTGATTCAGCTCTGTGCCCAAGAAAAGCAGGTTTCTTGTCTCTCTCCCTCCTCGTAGGCTCATTGGCTTTTGCTGCTGTCAATCACAGCCTATGAGGAGAGAGCAGTGGGCGGGTCTGAGCCCACATTAGTGCCCCCATAACACATCCCACATGGAAGAAAAATATATTTTAAAAATATTATTCCCAAATATATTGACATATATTTGTAATACTAAAATTTTAGCCCTATTCAATATATTTCAAAAAAAAATTATATATATACTGTATGTTGAAATGCATTTTTTATATATTACAAAATATATGAAAAATATTATTAAAAATATATATTTTTTTAAATCTATTCTTCTTTAGATTTTTTTTAACATATACAAAAGTAATTTTAACATATATTTGTAAATGCATTCCAAAAATGTAGATTAAATGTTTATTTAAAGACATACAGTATATTTGAAAATGTATTTTATAAAATATTTTTCATATACAGTATTTTGTAATATATACAAAACGCATTTCAACATATAGTGGTGTGTGTGTGTGTATATATATATACAGTTGCAAGAAAAAGTATGTGAACCCCCTTGGGATTACATGGAGTTTTGCATGAATTGGGCATAAAATGTGCTCTGAACGTCATCTAAGTCACAACAATAGAAGAACACAGTCTGCTGAACATAATACTACACAGACATTAGATGTTGCCATGGTTTAATTGCACATAACATGTAAACATTCACAGTGCAGGGAGGAAAAAGTATGTGTGAACCTTTGGACTTAATAACTGGTTGACCCTCCTTTGGCAGCAATAACCTCACCCAAACATTTCCTGTAGTTGCAGATCAGACCTGCACAACGATCTGGAGTCATTTTGGACCACTCCTCTTCACAAAACTGTTTCAGTGTAGCAATATTCTTGGGATGTCTGGTGTAAATCACTCTCTTAAGGTCATGCCACAGCATTTCAATCGGGTTGAGGTCAGGACTCTGACTGGGCCACTCCAGAAGGCGTATTCTGTGCTGTTGCAGCCATTGTTTTGTTGAATTACTTGTATGCTTGTATGGCTTTGGGTCATTGTCTTGTTGCATCACCCATCCTCTGCGGAGCTTCAGTTGGCGGACAGATGGTCGTACGTTTTCCTGCAAAATGTCTTGATAAACTCTGGAATTCATTTTCCCATCAATGACAACAATCCGTCCAGGCCCTGAGGCAGCAAAGCAGTCCCAAACCATGATGCTCCCTCCGCCATGTTTTACAGTAGGGATGAGGTTTTGATGTTGGTGTGCTGGGCCTTTTTTTCTCCACACATAGTGTTGTGTGTTCTTCCCAAACAACTCAATCTTGGTTTCATCTGTCCACAGTATATTTTGCCAGTAGTGCTGTGGAACATCCAGGTGCTCTTTTGCAAACTTCAAACATGCTGCAATATTCTTTTTGGACAGCAATGGCTTCCTCCGTGGTGTCCTCCCATGTACTCCATTCTTGTTTAATGTTTTCCTTATTGTAGATGTGTCAACAAAAATGTTAGCATGTGCCAGAGATTTCTGTAGGTCTTTAGCTGACACTCTGGGATTCTTCTTTACCTCATGCAGCATTCTGCACTGTGCTCTTGCAGTCATTTTTACAGGACGACCACGCCTAGGGAGAGTAGCAACAGTGCTAAACTTTCTCCATTTGTAGACAGTCTGTCTTACCGTGGACACATGAACATTAAGGCTTTTGGAGATACTTTTGTAACCCTTTCCAGCTTCATGCAAGTCAACAATTCTTGATCGTAGGTCTTCTGAGAGCTCTTTTCTGCGAGGCATGGTTCACATCAGACAGTGCTTCTTGAAACCAGTAAACCAAAAACAGGTGTGTGTTTTTTAAGGGCAGGACAGCTGTCAGCAACACATCCAATATCATCACACTGATTGGAGTCAAGGTTGGCTCACTCCTGGCTCCAATTAGTTCTGGGAGAAGTCATTAAGCTAGGGTCTCACATACTTTTTCCTCCCTGCACTGTGAATGTTTACATGTTATGTGCAATTAAACCATGGCAACATCTAATGTTTGTGTAGTATTATGTTCAGCAGACTGTGTTCTTCTGTTGTTGTGACTTAGATGACTTTCAGAGCACATTTTTATGCCCAATTCATGCAAAACTCCACGTAATCCCAAGGGGTTCACATACTTTTTCTTGCAACTGTATATATATATATATATATATATATATATATATATATATATATACAGTGGGGATGGAAAGTTTGGGCACCCCAGCTAAAAAATTTGTATTAATGTGCATAAAGAAGCCAAGGAAAGATGGAAAAATCTCCAAAAGGCATCAAATTACAGATTAGACATTCTTATAATATGTCAACAAAAGTTAGATTTTATTTCCATCATTTACACTTTCAAAAATAACAGAAAACAAAAAATGGCGTCTGCAAAAGTTTGGGCACCCTGCAGAATTTATAGCATGCACTGCCCCCTTTGCAAAGCTGAGACCTGCCAGTGTCATGGATTGTTCTCAATCATCGTCTGGGAAGACCAGGTGATGTCAATCTCAAAGGTTTTAAATGCCCAGACTCATCTGACCTTGCCCCAACAATCAGCACCATGGGTTCTTCTAAGCAGTTGTCTAGAAAACTGAAACTGAAAATAGTTGACGCTCACAAAGCTGGAGAAGGCTATAAGAAGATAGCAAAGCGTTTTCAGATGTCAATATCCTCTGTCTGGAATGTAATTAAGAAATGGCAGTCATCAGGAACAGTGGAAGTTAAAGCAAGATCTGGAAGACCAAGAAAAAATATCAGACAGAACAGCTCGCAGGATTGTGAGAAAAACAATTCAAAACCCACGTTTGACTGCACGATCCCTCCAGAAAGATCTGGCAGACACTGGAGTTGTGGTACACTATTCCACTATAAAGAGATACTTGTACAAATATGGTCTTCATGGAAGAGTCATCAGAAGAAAACCTCTTCTACGTCCTCACCACAAAAATCATTGTTTGAACTTTGCAAATGAACATATAGACAAGCCTGATGCATTTTGGAAACAAGTTCTGTGGACCGATGAGGTTAAAATTGAACTTTTTGGCTGGAATGAGCAAAGGTACGTTTGGAGAAGAAGGGGCACAGAATTTAATGAAAAGAACCTCTGTCCAACTGTTAAGCATGGGGTTGGATCAATCATGCTTTGGGGTTGTGTTGCAGCCAGTGGCACAGGGAACATCTCACGAGTAGAAGGAAAAATGGATTCAATAAAATTTCAGCA